TGTCGTAACGGCTGCTATATTTCCCACTCCTAAACAAATGGCGCCGAGATTTTTTGAGAATCCTGCTGAACATTGAACTTGTGTCCTTGAATCTTATTACCGCCCAGATTCTTGAGAAATGATAGCAAGAGGTTAAAGATATTGGTAACTACTGGATGCCACGTAAGAGGTTGGCTAGATCTGGCGCTATATGCCAGGATATTCATGAAGGATAAACGTTAGCAAATAAACATAACACATCACACAAGCAGAAGCCGTTTGCTTTAATATAAATTCATTTCACAGTGTAGACATGCATAGAGACTGGGATGGTGGGGGACGTTTCCCAAATGTGAACAAGTGAGTAACACGGTTGATTCTCATATTCCACGCGCCTTTGAATTGGCGGGTTCAAATTGGTACATAAAATCACATGTTTGGAGTTTTCAAGGTTAGCAGACGTACAAGGATTGAAATGTTGTGAAATTTAGCCAGTTTGTAAACAAATCTAGATTCAATTCTGAGAAAGCTTTTACAGGGGTCGAAAAAAGTCGGATGTTTATGAGTAACTGATAGAGATCTAGATAGGAAGAGATAAAAAGCGGAAATCGAATTAGAATGTTTCGGAAACGACATGACTAAATTTTGCGTCAATATTTGCAAACCCTGATTCATATGAGGTTTCGAAATCAAATAAATCCAGCTTATTTTTCAATCATAGTCTGGAATTGAAAGTAAGGATATAGAAACATCAGAGCTGCAGTCATCAGTAGCGAAAATGATCAATTACCGCACGACCAGTTTTCATTGAAACGATCAGCTAAACAAAGGGATAACGGACAGGCGAAAGAATGAATACAATAATTAGAATTTGAGGGATGCAGTAGGAAAAATACAGGTATGACATGGTTAACGGTTAAACAAATCAGTTTGATGTGCAGTGATAGTAAATACAGGATGAGACTGCGACTGCTTGACAATGCCTGTAAACTGGCATTAAATAAAAATTTATTTACTTATTTAATGGTGGCAGCGACGCTTTTAGTTTTGGTGACGCTGGTGGTGGTAGAGGTTTTAGTGTTGGTGGTGATAATGGCTGCTTCGAGTGATCTCAAGGGGCAGATGTGAATGGCGATCAAATTAATTCTCCTGTCGAGAATATGCATTTGTCCTTAAGGCCCGTGCGGTGTAGGCGTGTTTTGGGACATTGTAAGCCGGCGAGTCGAGAGCATATATTCGCTAGCCTCCGTAAAATGGATTGGAAAGTATAGTCGTCCTGTTCGTTGACAGGACATGCTCGATAGTCTGCATGGAAAGCCGGAATATAGAGTGAAACTGGGATGTCTAATGCGCTATTAACTGCCAGGGAGATCAAGAAGCTTGCAAACACTAGTAAAAAAAAACGACGCACAAGTTGAGAGAAGACGGAGCCCTCACTGGAAGGAAAGCACTGGCCGCAAAACCCCCTGATACCATAATGACAAGCTTCTACGGTCTGCCAAAGGCGCACAAGCCGGGAGGGTCCCTCCGTCTCATCGCCTCATTTCTTTGTACTACAACATCTGGGCTGTCAAAGTGGCTTTGCCAGAGGCTTTTTTTACTTACTTAAGATTCAGAGGAACAGTGATGTCGGTTCAAAAGTTTTTTACGGGTATCTGACACCTAGAAAAGGAGGTTGGCAAGATGTAGGTGTCGTCTGACGTGATATATATACTCACATGTGTGCCACTTGAATTGACTCTCGGCACTACTGACGGTCTTTGCCGGAAGCATATGATGAGAATGACCAAAGGCACAAAGAAGTGCTCGACAAGCAGCTCTCGGAACTGCGCCTTAAGACATATTTCGCACTAAACGACCAGATTTACGAGCAAAATAAGGGGACACAGACTGACTTGCTTCTGCCTGGGCTGATTAGCGAAACGGTTTTCAGATGTTCGAACGACATAGACGGTCCACGATCGGGTTCTTTCATACTGGACATAAGTGCTTCATCAAATCATGATTTGTTCATGTATGCCTTGTCACCTGTTATTTTCTGCCACTACAGACAGAGTATTTATTAAATCAGAAATCAAAGCACAGCAGTTTATTTGCTTTCTGAGGCAAATAAGCCCCCCACGGCGCACACAGATTGTGCATCAGCGGTTATCCCGTAGAAGTCTCCTGTTTCCAACCTAACTGTTCATTCACATTTCTGGCTGTCCGCAAAAAGTCATGTCTTTAGCACTCAATTCCAAGTCCTACCCCAATAATTTTCGAAAATGCTGGGAGCGACTCCGACTTGCTCAGTTAAATTCGACGCATAAGGGATAACGATTTCCAGGCAGCACAGAGGTCTTAGAGAGGATTTTGCTTTATTGACTTTGGACATACGTACTCATAAAGGGGTGTAATAATATCGAGGAAAAAGTTGTTTGACTAGATTTGTGGTCTGACTCTCGAGGTGAAGAGTGCTGGAATCTTGGATCACCGGGCGTCGTCCTATGGCAAAGCAAACTACGGCCCATTGTAACTTAAGACCAGTCAGATTTTATTATTTACCAGGTTAAGGGTATTAAAATACCTATTATAATCCGGCCTAGTACACAGAAAATTTCGCGAAGCTTCGAGAAGAATATTCCAGACGGACTGATAGATTTCTCGAACACACGGACCAATCGAGTTCGAGAGTGCAGCCAATAGCGAGGCGTTATAATCATGCTGACAGCGTGTTAGAGAAGGCTTATGTAACCTCCAGTGATTGGCTGGCTCTTGTTCTTTGGAGTGTAGGAACTCCGAACTCCTCCCCTCTAAGTAGGTGAGTATCGCTTCTGGCGTGGATTGATTGGTACTATCAGTGTTGATCGCGCATGCGGTTTGTCGGACGTCTTAGTTGTGGTTTGTTGTCCGGCAATGCGGGAGCAGTGACTGATACAAAAGATGATACGCCCGAAGGGGTTCAGAAGTGGGTTCGGGAACCGGCCGATCTGTCGGAGCGGCGAGACTATCCAACAAGGTGCCGAGAAGGGATGAAAACACTGATTCGGGTCCGGTTGCGTTATTGGAATGCCGTCGTCGATTCTGGTGTTGTGACGACAAACCAAGATGCCGTCACCATAGGTAACTGCTTCTGTGCGCTGTTACAGTCGCCTCAATCCAGTTTGGAAATCCAGTTCGTTAATCACGAACGAAGACAGGTGTTCCGACGGGAAGTTTGCTGCGAAAGACAGGTGAAGTCTGTGCGGGCTGCACACAGAAAGGGGCAAATGCACGAAACGTTATACGTAGTTTTCGACCCATCTAAACTTCGGCAGGATAAATGCCGCCAGGGGAGGCCGGATTCAGAGTTGTCCTGCAGGAAATCAGAAACGCCTGTTTTATCTCGTCCGTGGTCCCCTCCCACAAGCCTCCGATAGGGCTGTCTTAAATGTCTCGACAACACGCTTCGCCTGACCGTTAGACTGAGAGTAGTGGGGCGGGGTGCGAATCTGCTGGATGTTGTGTTGGCGGCAAAAATTCTCAAACGTCGATGAAACAGACTGGGAACTATTATCCGAAACTAGCACTTCCGCTAAGCTATGCTGGCTAAAGATGCGTCGCAGAAAAGCGATAGAGACAGATGCGGTCTCTGGATTCAGCGGAGCAATCTCTGGCCACGTCGAGTAGGTGGCAACAAAGATTACGTATGAGACTCCGTTAAGTGGACCAACGATATTGCTATGCACGCGTGGCCAAGGTCTCTCCGGTGGCTGCTAGGGTGTTGGTGTGCGAGACCGCATATTGGCAGTTTGTGGGCATCAGGAAGAGCGTCTTACCAGGTCGTTGATGTCGGTGTCGATACCCTGCCAGTAAGCAAAACCGCGAGCAATTACTAATATTCTGCTTACACCAGGATGTGTCTCATGAAACTGGCGTAGTGTAGCAGGTCAAAATAAAGATGGGCTCATCACACAGTTCACAAACATGAGGCAGGAACCAACCACAGATAGCAATGCTCGGCGAAGGAAGAACTGTTGGAGGTTGCTAGTGAAAACAGTGGTTGACCAGCAGGTCTGCACGTAGGTGATGGCCTGACGGAATACAGGATCCTGTTCAGTAGCACGTCGGATATCTGGTATAGAGTCTGAAAGTTGACGGAGCAGATCTTCCTCAGTCGAAATGGCGACAATCGCGGTGTCCTCCTCAGGCTCCTCATGACTGCAGATGAGACGAAAATGGGCGTCAGCCTGGCCAAAGTCGATAGTGCAGCAGTAGCAAATGCCGAAATCGTAGCCAAGAAGAATATTTGCCCATCGCCTAAGTCGACTGGATGAACTGACAGGAATGCCCGTATCCGAAACGAACATTAACAGAAACGGTTTATAATCCGTCAGCAACGTGAAGTGACGATCGCACAGCAGCTTGTGGAGCGTCTTGATGGCAAACACGAGGGCCAGTGCTTCTTCCTCCATTTGTTCGTAGTTCTTCTCTGAAACAGTTAGCGTGCGAGATGCATGCGTGATCGCCTTTTCAGACCCATCAGGAAAAGCATGTGAGATGACCGCACGAACTCCGTTGTTGGAAGCATCTGCAGCAACAACAATCGGCAGCGTCAGGTCGTAATGCGTGAGCAGCAGATTTGAACTCAGCATCGACTTTAGCTGGGCGAAGGCCTTTTCGCAGTCGGAGAACCAGCACAAGGGAGCATCCGTGGCCCGTACGTCATGCAGCGATGGTAGGAAGGCGCTATAGTAGCTGATCAGGCCAAGGAACGAACGGAATTGCAATACATTTTTGGGTGCAGGCATCCGGTGGATGGCCCGAGTGTTTTCAGGATCTGGATGGCGGTCGGTGACGTCAAAAACGAATACGAAGTACTTGATGGAGTCGAGGAAGAAATGGCACTTGTCGGTTCGCAGGAGGAAGCCATATTCCCGCACGCGTTCGAGCACTGCGCACACTCGGTCTTGCATCTCGGCAGAGGAACGACCCATGATGATGATGTTGTCCAGGTACCCAGCTGTGCCAGGGATGCCGGAGAACATTGTGTTCATCAGTTGTTAGACTAGGGCCGGGGCGGTCTTGACGCCAAAGGGTAGCCTGGTATATTGGAACAGATCGCGGTGGGTGTTGATGGTCAACAATTCACGCGACTCTGGGCGACCTCGATCTGCAACGAGATCCAACTTTGCAAAGCAAGTGCCACCATTCAGCAGGTTGAACTGATCAGCCGGAACTGGCAGTGGACAGCAGTTCGGCGTTAGCGCGGCAATAAGACCGGTGGAGGAGCCAGCACAAATCCGGATCGGATCATTGGGCTTCTTAGCCCCAACGATTGGAGAGGCCCAATCGGAGTAGGATACAGAATCTAGAACTCCCAGTTCCTCCAGACGCTTCAGTTCAGCCTCGACAAGTGGTAAGGCTGCATATGGCGCGGGTCGCTTTGGAAGGAAGACGGCTTGACTTCCAGGAGACAGATGCAACAGAGCTTGAGTGTATGTACAACGACCCAGGCCGTCTTGAAACACTGGAGCAAACCGTTGACGAATGTCCTTGGCGTGGTCGGCAAGCACAACGGGAATCTGCACCTGACTGCAAACAACGCGGAGCGGCATACCGGCCAAACTACTTTATTCAATCCATTTGAGACCAATCAGGTCGAGGTCTGACTTGGTGACGTAGCAGATCGCAGTGATGCTGGTATCGCTAAACGACACATAACATTGCAGTTGCTCCATTAGCGCATGCGTTTGTGACGGACTGAGAAACCTGCTGCATCGCGGGACTACCAAGGGACTGCCAGAGTCTCTCAGAGATTATGATGATGTCTGAGGCAGTGTCCAACCGTAGGCAGACTGAGTGGCCATTGAATAGAACGTTGGCAAACTTTCTACGATCAGCCGCATTTAGCTGGAAAGTGGCCAGGAGACTGAAAGAATTTCCAACGGACTAGG